CCAGCGTGACGGTTCGCCTTCATTCGCAGGCAGTGAAATGAAACGGAAGTCGGCTTGCCGGCAGATGGGCTTCGGTCATCTTGCCTGCTTGCGGATTGAAAGTTCAGGAAACTGCTTTCCGTGAACGCGAACGCACGACTCCGCGTTATTTTCTGGGACTGCTGCGAACGTCTGCTTGCCAAAGGTGTCATTTTTCTAACGAATTCAATAACACGTATTACTGATTTGGCCCCAGGGTGGGTCGTTCCTGTTTTTGTTGGGTTGTGCCCCAAGGAGGTGCAACGATGTGGTTGTTTAAGAAGATCAAGATTCGCAACTTTGAAGTCGGGCTGTTGTTCCGCGAAGGAAACTTCGTCGGCACTTTGGAACCTGGTACGCACCGATTCTTCGATCCTTGGAATAAGATCAACGTCGACGTGCATTCGCAGCGCGATCCTTACCTTCATGACGAGCAGCTAGACGTCATCGTGAAGTCAGGCGTGCTAACGGACCGCGCGATGGTGGTCGACTTGACGCAGCACCAGCGTGCGCTGGTTTGGATCGATGGCCGATTCGATGGTGTGTTGGGGCCTGGTCTTTACGCGTTGTGGACGACGTTCCGTGATGTGCATGTAGAAATGTTCGATGCACGGGAAGTGCGTTTCGAGCACGCAGACTTGAAGTCGATCTCGCACGAGCCAACGGCGCTGATCCAACTGGACATCTGCGACGTCGAGCGTGAATGCGCCGGCGTGCTGTTCGTCGATGGCCGTTACGTCGAAACGCTGAGCCCAGGTACGTACGCGTTCTGGCGAGGTCCAGCCGACGCACGGATTGTGGAAGTCGATCTGCGCGAAACGATGATCGACGTTTCTGGTCAGGACATCATGACCCTGGATAAGGTAACGCTGCGGATGAATGCCGTGGTGACGTACCAGGTATTGGATGCCAAGAAGGCGGTGACGGCAACCAACGATGTGAAGCAGGCATTGTACCGCGAGGTGCAGTTGGCTCTGCGAAGCGTTGTGGGTGCCCGAGATCTGGATAGCCTTCTGACCGACAAGGAAGCCGTGGCGGAAGAACTCGACACAGCCGTACGTGGTCGGTCCAACGAGCTTGGTTTGAAGCTAGTGAGCGTAGGAATTCGCGACGTGATTCTACCAGGCGAAATGAAGGATCTCATGAACAAGGTGACCGAAG